GGTTATAAAGTATATCAAAGTTTGATGTTTTCATTGGATGAAACTTTAAATTCATTTTTTGTTTCATCTTATTTTTCAAAATAATATACATTTGATTTTGTTGACGATTGGCAGTGGCAAGCCAAAGAAAGACGCTCCAGTAAACCCCAGTGGTTGATGGGAAAATGTGTACGTAAAAATGCTGTCATTGTTTTTTTCTATATACTTGCAAAAAAGATACCTCAACTTTGACAAAACTATTATGAATAATTCATATACAGCATATTCTAAACAAAAAGCTTTTGTTTGTTTAATTACCTGTCTAAATTAGACATAAAACGCAACAATGGACTACAACTCCCACAAAAAGCTTAACCAGGAAGTAAAGTCGTGACGTCAACAGATAGCGCTGTCGCTATGAAGCTATTAGTTTGTTTAAAAACGACATTTTGTTTTCTGTTTTAAACTTCATGAGTTGAGAATGAGAGGCGTTCATTCTTTGTTGTTCTTGTTATTGTTTTGTGTAAATTTGTGCGCGTCAGAACGAGTCGACGGGGGAAATTCCCTGGACTTACACAAGAAAGATGACATCGTCGGGGGGGATGTGAAGGTTGATACTTCAGGGGAAAGCAAGCAGACCCTTAAAACTAATGACAGAGAAGATGAACTTAGTGCAAACGACCCACAAAAGGAAGGACAGCTTGTCAGGTCAGAGCGATWTTTATGTTTTCAGTACATCATCTTGTAGCTTAGCTTAGCTAGCAACCGTGTTGCTTGTTGGTACACAGATTACTTTATTCTCTGCTTCCTTTACGGATAAACAAGTGTTTGTTTTAATCTTCAATTTAAACAGATTAGTTCTTAACCACGTGTTGTATAAATACTGTTTAGTAGTATAAACAATTAAACAGCTGTTAATTTTAGCACTGATGAACGAAATCCTGGTCTGGATAAACAGCTGTGATGCTGTAGTTTACGTTTATCCCCTCATGTGGTCAGTTTTGCTTTACTGAAATTTACACTGACAGTACTAAACACCTGAGTAACTATCAAAGATAAACACTAACATATTATCACCTCTGACACTCTTCTTGCAGCAACTCCAATGATACCACAGAAAACTACAGTAATGAGACCCACCACTCTACAACTGCTGCCAAGCCAACTACTCCAGCACYAACACCAAAGCCCATTCTTCCAGTACAGACGGGGGTGAAGGCCCAAGAGGAAGAGCAGTCCAGTGGGCTGACAATTTTCTTCAGTCTGCTTGTTATTGGTTTGTGGTTTTTCACAGTCTAATGCTTCTGCTGCGTTCTTTTGCTGCTCATAAGTATTCACAAGGATTGTTTTCCAAGAGCAATTTTAAAAGCATTTGGCTAGAGCTACCTTTAACATGCATCTCTCTGAACTTATTTAAAGGATTCTCAAGCCGGGTACACACCAAACGCGTTTGGAGCAGCATTAGGATTATGTCCAGAGTTGCACATAAGTGGTGCGCATGCGCGATCAAAAAAGAAAAAGCACACTAGATGGAATGTCATAAAGCTCCCTTGCGTGCCTAAGATTGTACCTGAGATTGTGAAAACAACAGCTAGCAGGGACGCAAATGCGACCTGATGTCTTAAAATCAAATTGAACAAAAAATATATGTATAAAYAAATCGATCGTTGTTCTGTCAGAGGAGGGCAGCGGGGCCCTGATGTATAAGAGATTAAACAGACATTGCTTTCAACAAATCAGACGAACTCCAGAGCTGTTTTATCCAATCAGAGCAAAGCAGGGCGGGACTTTCAATCAGAGCAGTTTTCAGCACACACAGTGGAAGCAGCAGCTGCAGCGATCAGTCCTGACATCTCCTCCTGCACTTTGCTCCTGAACTACCAGAGACTTTGGTATTTAAAACTTAAGTTTAAATTAAATGTATGTTCAGAGCGTTGTTATCGAACAGATCTGTCCAACTTTGCATCGGTGACTAAACTCTCTCCTCCTGAGAGATGGGAACGCGCCTCAGCGAGCGCAGGCTGAGTCTTTCTGTGAGATTCACTGTTCGAGTTCTTCTAAACCATATTACCTCTAACAGAAGAATATTTATTTGCCCCATATCAAAGCAAAGATGAGTCTGTTTAACGTCACCTCTCCATCCATCCATACATAAATAAATAAATAAAAACTTGCCATGTTCTCTAGGTGAATGAGATTTAAATGTTATTTTAATTTATCAGAAAGATCCACTAATTTTATTCTTCACAATTTTAAGATGACAACAAGGTTCTTGATGTGCTAAACATGTTTATATTCAGAATCAAACTTGTGACACAGCTGCTCTGGGATAAACATAATTCAATAAATGATAAAATATGAAGAATAAACAATTTTAAATGATTACATGAGCTGAAACCATCTAAATCTAATTTTTTTGTATAAAATAGTATTTAAAAAAAGAAATCAGTCTAACAAATAAAACATTTGTTTTGTGCAAAAGACAGATATTTGCTGTTTGGTCTGTAGAGTGTGGAAAGCTGTTTTAAACAAGGCCAAAGATCTACACTGCAAAAAAAATGTCCATCTTACCAAGTTTTAAAATATATCAGCCAAAACGTCTTTTTGATCTTGTTTTGAGACTGATTTGCTAAACAAGAACTGATTGCRTAAGAATAATAATCTTGTTTTCAGAATGTGTAAGATTATTTGTCTTGTTAGTCTGAAAATTTGACTTTTTAGTTGTGCAAAAAGATGCCATTGTTTGCAAAACAACGTTAAAACTTGGGTACTCAGAATGGCGAGTGCTCTTCTGCAGTGTGAAGAAGACGAGTGAACTGCAGAATGAACAAGCTAATGAATAAACTCCTGTCAGAGGGGGAAACTGTAAAATCACACCAATGAAAGCCTTCATTTCAAAACATTTTACAACAGTTATGTTTTAGGGCACAAATAAAAACAGAACCCTGTAAAATCCTAACAGATTTGAAATAAAAGAATCCTGCCCACACTTCCTGGTTTTTACAGCCTGGTTTTAGGTCACACACACTCACACATAAACAAAGGAAGTGGCCTTCTGTGTATGTATTCAAAATTTATTTCTGTTACATATTTTGTTTGGGTTTGAAGAGTTTTTATTTTTAGTTAAAACACAATCCGAGTATCTGTTATCATAAGAGAATCTGAGTTATTTTTTTTTATCAGTTTGCGTTTTCTTTTTGCTTGACTCATTATTTTTATTCATTTATTCCTGAGATGCAACTTTGTGTGTTCTCCTCTTGACTGAATGAAGCCGTGTTTGCAGCTAATCGCTATAACCAACAAAATGTATGACCTTCAGTAGACACAAAACTAAAATAATTGAGAAAGAGAAGCTGAAATAAAATACAGGAACTCCTCAACAAATCAGAAAATATGTAGTACTCAACTATTCCTGTTCCACCCCAAAGTTTTATTTATTTTTTTTTGGCATTGACTAAAATGTATTACCTCTCTGTCATGACTGTTTTCTGAAATGTTGTTTCTCCCCTAATGCCCTGTTTATTCCCTGCTTCCTGCAGTCCTAATGGAAGCAGTTGAGGAAAAAACTTCCAAAAAGACAATGTACCTAGAAAAAAAAATACTTCCTGCTGTCCAACCTTAGCTTTAGACTCACGTCCTTCAGATATTCATGTACAGGATGGAAGCTTTAAAWATTTGCACAACAAAATATACGTTTGCTGGGGTTCACTCACTAAGCATAACTTCTGTCACCCTGCAACTACTTAAGGAGGACAAATGTACAACTTCTTCTTTTTTAAGTTAGTGGTTGATGATTCAAAAATTGTACAAGTTTGTGGTTTGTCAAGGGAAGTCTACGATTTCATGCTGGAGTCACAAAGTTCCTGTTAGATATTAAAAGACAATAGCCTGCAAACGAGCAATGCTGTATGTCTTTTAAAACTGCTACTGATCAGCAGTTAGACTATATCTTATTCCATGAAAAAAAAAAAAAATTAGAGTGCATTCCAAAAACCACACATTAGACCTAAGTAGCACTTCCTGCTATCCACACAGACATGATGTGTTATTTCCTTGTGCATTTACTCAACTGGTCAACACCAGTTTAAAATACCTCCCATAAAAATGCTTCTTGATGAACTTGTCTTTTCTGATTTCAGTTATGCTCTTAGTGCATACGTTGCGTTATGTATTTGTATATACAGTATGGTCCATTGTTTCCCTTTTCATTATCCAAGGACGGCACCGCGCCCTGTCAACAGAACTGAGTGCCTTGCCTATGTTTAGGTTAAAATTGACCCTCCCCCCACTGCCCCTGGCCCCCACCGCATATATGGATACATTTTCAGTTTGTAACAATTCTTACTGAGCCATTAAACAACTCCAACACTGCCAAACAGCTTCTTTGTAGCCACTTACACAAATTTAAATACATTTTTCTCAATTGGATTTCAATTTTTGTATTTAACTTTTAATCAAACATGACGGATGTCATGTCTGAAATTTTCTAAAAGGGAACATCAAGAAAATAACGGTATATGATGACTTGTCTATGGAATGTGATTTAAGACCTGATCTGAGCCAGTATGACACATTTCTTCTGATCATAAATGATTTTGACCTCAACATGCATTGAGTTGACTCTACCCYCTTCTCTCCCCCAGGTATCTGCATCATATTGGTGCACCTGCTTATCAAGTTTAAGCTGCATTTYCTTCCTGAGAGTGTGGCTGTCGTGTCCCTCGGTGAGTAAAGTACTTCTTGTGTAAATTGCTGTTCTGTACAACAAATAGGTTCTGGGATGTTCAGTGTTTCTATGCTCAAGAGCACTTGAGGATGTTGTTAAAGTTGCAAACAGTTGTGGAATATTAGTTCAGGCAGACTACAGAGAAAAAAACAAAAATAATGTAAAAAAAATCAATAAAGAAAGTGTTTTAAATCCAGGCAAAAACTAAGGAGAGAAAATATCTTAAACTGTGTTTATGCAGATTTAAGGCAAAAAAAAAAAAAAAAATCTGAAGCTCCTATGGTGAATAGTTTGTGAGTTATAAGTTTTTTTGTAAGTCCAGACACCCCCTTTTCAGATGGAGCCCCCTCCTCAAATATGGGGTCTATTGTAAAATGGTTGGCTGGCACAGTGTGGATCGGACACAACAACATTCCTACCAAATTTACGCTAATTGGTGCTGCTGTTTCTGGGCTACTGTTGACCAAAGATCTCTGAAAGCAAATAAACATATAAACAGTTTGAAAACWACATGAMCCCCACTTTGTGTGTGGGGCTCACAATAAAAGAAATGTTGAAAAATTTGGGCTGCATTAGGCTACCAGCTGCATGTYTTTACTAGGGTTGGGCGATTAATCGGATTTTGATCTTGATTACGATTTGGGTTTTCAACGATCATARAAACGTAATGATCGAGGTTTGCAGCTTACATAGTATAGTATAATTTCTKTGATGTGAAAAACTTATACGGAGTCCAATTATGGAATCCAGTGYAAAACACGGAATGTCACAGAATTTGCTTATTTGGGTGAGTTTCTGAGGTATTTTGACTGACTGCTGCTCCCTGTACCTGCCGTTACCTGTTAACAGGCACACGAGGTGAGCTCTGAGCTCTCCTCCTGACATGGGGGAGAAAAAAAAGCTGCGTCCGCGAACCGCGTGGTGAACAACAAACTCACTAAATGCAACGTCCTCCAAAAATATGAAGCTACGGTAAAGTTTAGGACAGAACATAACCTCAGCGGTTATTTATTTGTAGAAATACATTTCTGCAAGTTTTCAGCACAGGGCGAGCTGGACGCTGTGAAGGCTGCTTCCTCTCTGAGTCACAGACAGAGGAGCAGGAGAGAGACACGCTGAAAACTCCTCAACACTCAGAAGTGAGGTGGGAGTCCGGGTGGGAGGTTATCCAAGATATTATTTGTGCAGAATCAAATATTCCTTTAGAAAAAGTGAAAAAAGCTTTGTCCATT